TCTCTTAAGAACGTATTCTTGAAGTAATTTGGAGACGAAAATTCTAATTAAAAAATGTTGAGGATATCATAGTTTTTTAATTATAATTGATTAAAGATAGTGTATAATTCAAAAGAATCCAGAAATAATAATAGAGGCTATGAAAGTAAAATGGTTTTTGACTTATAAGCATTTAAAGTTAGCTTATAATTAAAAAAATTTTTGTAGTTTCGATACTTTCGTATTAGGATTTTCGTCTCAAAATTACCTCAAGAGTATGTCCTTAAGAGGAAAACGGTAGTTGTGAGTCATCCTGTATATATATATATAATGATCATATAAATGTTTTGGCCTTAATTAGGCCAGTCTTAGTATGTTAAAATTTTTACATGAAACTAAATTAAAATACAAACAAATAAATATATATCGTAGGTCGTCAACCTGTATTTGTTTTTTTATTTATTCGTATTATTTAAAAGGCGTGCTCGTATAATTACTCATCTAATTCTGTAAATTGTTTAAAATTGTTAACATTTTGTCCAAATTTATTACTATATTACATTGTGTTATTTGTGTCTCTTGCTGGAAAATATCTTTAAGCCGATCAAAGATAGATCGCAAAGCGATTTAAAAAATCGGAGATTGGAATTCGATTCGATAATCAAAAAGGAACATTTATGGTATCTTACCCAAAGAGAAATTTTGTATATCAAATGTTTGTATCACAGCAGTTGTATATATTTACTTGGGAAATACATCCAGACCAGATTGGAAATAAGTCGAGCGTGCTGATATTCTCCTGAAGACGAGAACACATGTATTCCTTCCGACACATGTATCAATACACACGTCGCCGGATATGAATGCAATATTTATCTTGAAATTGCCACTAAGGGCCGTATAAAGATTTATATATCTAGATATATCTAGATTTTCCGTACAATTCACTTATCCGCGCGAAATTTAAAGGCTCTGATCGCGCGCGGCCGATTAATAGGACGCACTCTGTTTAAATCCATGAGATCGATTTTGCGCATACCATGGTGGCTGCAGGCGAAGGGAGTGCAATCGGGGATGACAATCGGGGCCAAGGAAGTCAGAATTGACGGATTCATGCCGAGCGAACCTACCTCCAAATAGATCTCGGAGTGGGGATTGAACGTATTATTGACCGAATGTAAAGAGACGTTCAGATGCGGCAGACTGTGGAAGATCCTTGCGTATTGTGGTACCGTGTACTGCTCCGGAAGCTGTTGACCGCCCGCCATTATGGAGAACCCTTATCTACCGAGAACTCAATCGAAACGCCTGTCCTACTCGTCAAGACATGCTACGCGCGAGCGCTGTAATCAGAAAATAATAAATTAATTGGATGAGACTTTTGGGAATTTATTAATTTGGAGGCGTGAGAAATAACGGTACTCGACGCGTACTCGAGCGTTGCGTCATCGAGCGTTACAAAAGTAGGGCCCGAAGTTTTTGCGGTGCCTAATTGAAGGAGCATCTGCACCAGCGCGATATTTCCAACTTCCGTATTTGCATAATCGAATAATAATTCCTACACAATGTCGAAACCATCCACCGGTTTTATATCTTTTTATATAAATACATTTAAAAGCTCGATTTAAAACGTAAGCTATTAAAACTTTCTTCTACTGTTATTCAATTACGTCAAGTTTCAATTGTCCTGTATAATCGAATGCAGGTTTTAGGTTTTAACGACCCGAATTATTTTGCGTGCTCTTTCCAATATGGAGATGAAAAGGAATAAAATACTAGATTTAATATAATAAATGTAAATGTGTAAAGTTTTTTTTGGAAATAAGCAAAAATTTTTCTGTCATATCATCGTTTAACAAATGTCATCGATTCTCTATCATGATTCCAGCTAAATGGAATAGGTTTCGTGTTTCACTCTGAATATTCGTTTTCATCCGTTGTGCATGTATATATTTCGATCATTCTACGACATTCGTTAAATTGCGTTTGGATCAAAATCGTGTCGAGCAATGAGAATTATTAATTCTCCGGAGATCATCGACGTTTCTACAAATCAATTAAAAAATCAAATTGAAATATAATATAGATATAAATAGAATCGTAGTTTAATTTCGTTCACGAGCCATTTCGCACGATATTCCAGCGATTCAGGGAAGAGAATTACTCGCAATTAAATCAAATTTTCTAAAAAGGCTCATCGAGAGTTTTAATTCGATTATCATTTCATTAGCATATTGCGCTAGCTTCCACGTTGCGCTCTTTCGTTGCGAGTCACGATTCAATCTTGGCTAAATACGCCGACGTCACTCAGTGTCGCAAAACGTTTTACCGTAGTGATTCAACTCTTCCGTAGTGGAATCAACGCGCGCTTAATTAATGAAGTCTGTGCCAGCCAGCTCTCCATCTCTCTCGCCTCATTGACATCACTAAAGCGCGCCAAAAGGATTCCCGAGGTGCTTTTTAACCATCAAATCGAGTGAAATAGGTTTAATAAACTCCAACACCGGCATTATCGTTAAATCTTTTGAAAAACTTCCAATGTTTGCATCCTCTTTAAATGCATTTTCTTTTTTATATATTAACATTGAGATAAGAAAACGGACTACTTAAAATCGAGTTACAACATACATAAACACGATTATTTCTTAAATTAATAATCTATTATATGGTAATAATAATATTAATAAAATAATGATAACAATGCTAATAATAATATTAATAGTAATGAATTGAAATTTTTTCAAAGGCTTACTAATATAAAATAAAAGGGAGCATTCAGCCAACCTCAAGTTTCATCAAATTACTCTGTTATCTCGTATCATAAGCGAATTGAAGATCGTTTTACGAATCTTTTCTGACTAGCGTTTATTGTTTAATTTTATGTTTTTATTTTTGACATCTTTATTTTTATACGTACTGATGATGGTCAAATCTTGATCGAAACGTCTACGTTAATTTAT